CCTTTGTAACATTGGGTTCAGTAGCATTTTGCGCTCCAGGGTCAGAGGCGCAGTCGGTCACGTCAGTATGAAGAGCCACGGCAGTGTAGTCTTGTCGTCTGGTTCATCATTGTTTTGCTGAAGGGTTTGCTCGAGGTGGTTCACAGTCTCAGTTAGAGAATTGACATGTTGCTGAAGGTTGGTTAGGTTTTCTTTAACAGCTAGCACAGAGCCTTCCCGTCATTTCAGTCATGAAAGTGGACTCAGTGTCTCATACACTGCTGCAGGTAACTCACACCTAGTGATGGACATAGAGCCACGGTAGGACGCTATTTACTTACGAATTTCTCACCATCACATTGGGTAAGCGTCCAGTCTGCTATGGAGAGAGAAGGCAAATACTGCCACCACAACCAACTGGAGATCCTCATTTTCTCGACTGGCTGCCACTTGCCGCACAGTACCAACCAACCCTGAACTAAAAAGTGGTCTGATCATGCTGTGAGACCTGGTCATCTATCTAATGAGCATGCCGGTGTGTAGTAGGATACTACCCTCAGAACTACGTATACTACCAAAGTAACCACAGGTTCTCTTTTTGATGCCTTATCTCTGCCACATCTCATTCATAGTCTCAGTAAGGAAGTGACAGTTTGCGGATGCTGGGTCTATTTTCTCGAACAGCAGCCAGGCCCATCCTTCATTCAGTCTGAACAATAGTGAGACCTTCTTGCATCAGCAATCTTGTGTTTCATTTCAGTCAGAGAGGACTCAGTGTCTCATACACTGCAGCAACTACCCTCGAAAACTGTTGTGATGTGATACGCATAAAACTCGTAATCAAGCTATGTTACTCACCATCACATTGGGAGAAGCTCCAGTCTCACAAAGAGAGAGAAGGCAAATGCAGTCACACAAACCCAACTGAAGGACTCTGCATTGCATATCCCTCCACGTAGAGAGTACATTTTCAAGGTTGCACGTTCAACCAGGATGATAGTGCGCGCCTCTACGAGCTGCCTATCCTGGTGTAAAACTAGTGACTGAAAAGTGAGGTGATCAACAAACAACTGGGTGATCCTATTGGATAGCATGCCATGTCGATGTATTTGATATTACCTTGGTGCCTCGGTCCCTAACCTTCTTTGTGTCCCTCCCATGGCCTAAACTAAACAAATAGAAGTTTTTAACTAATATGAAGCTGTAATAGAAAGATGATATGATACATACTGTGCTATGTATAATCAATCGTACTGTTCGTGTTATAGCTTGTGTCTCAGTGTTAATGTGAGCACACTACTTGACAGCACACACCAAACATTCCTGCTTTTGATTTCTTAGTAGCTACATGTTCAATACTTATACTAGAGGAATGCGATGCATTTTTGGAGAGTGAAGCGTTTTTCGCATGTTTCACACTATTTTAGGTCAGTCAGTACTCATGGATCAGACAATGTGGCACTCTGGCTCCTGATCTTATGAGCCCGGGATGAAGCTGCCTAAGCATGCGCAAGTAGAGTGAAGGTAATAAAGTTATTAAAGAAAATCAACATGCATTCTCAAAACTAAATGGACATATCTGCTATCATTCCTCCTTTTTTTGTTGGACAGCAATGTGAACACTATTGCTTAGTTTAAAAGTCTACTCCAGCTAAAGTTCTCTACTCATAAACTCCATCTAATGTGAGTGTCTACTTGACATAGAGTTCCATGAACTCAACTGGAGAATCATCAACAATACTATATTGACACAGTCTGGCCTTTATAGGGTCATAGGTGGGGCTGGGGAGTGTCTTAGCGAAATATGGAGCATTGTTGAATGAGCAACAGCTACTGCTGTTACCACAACCTTCACCATCCCAGAGAGGATCATCTGGATGAAATCCACTGGTGGAACCTGAGTTGACTCCTGATTCACAGAAATAGTCTCTATCCACAAATGGTGGGACGGTAACACTGGAACCTGCACAAGGACCGTTAGTTGAGGCCTCAGTAGCAGCAGCTGCAAATGTCCATATATTATGTGTTGTCGTGGACTGCCATGTGTGAGATTGACACCGGCAACATAAGCTCCTTCTATTGTAGTCACTCTTCCAATGGAATAGGCCTCAAATGCATCAATATGACCCTGCTGGTAGGCTCTGATAGAGCCACACACACTAGTGTAGTCTCCTCCACTGACAGGGAACAAGACTGAGTCACAAGAAAAAAGGCTATACCTCCACACTCATCCACCTGTCCAAGTATATATTATAGTCAGCAGTCTTCTTAAGTTCCTTTGTAACATTGGTCAGTACATTTCGCTCCAGTTCAGAGTGTGCAGTCGTCACTGACATATACTGAGACCGTCTTGTTTGGAGTCCAGAGAGTCTAACTTGGAGTCAATGGTCTCCTGGTTGGTCTCCAGTCCTGCTAGCTCTGAGGCTGTCTGGTTGCTGTGTTCTTGTAGTTTAGCCTTCACTCCTAAGAGACCTTCACTCATACTAGTATTGACTGCCGAGAGTCCTTCACTCATACTAGTATTGACTGAGACCAGTAGAGACTTAACCATATCCAGCTGAGTGCGTAGACCTTTCATCTGCTCGTCATTGTTCCGTTCAAGGTTTTGCTCGAGGTTGTTCACAGTCTCAGTGAGGGCTTTGACTTGTTGCTGAATGTAGGTTAGGTTTTCTCTAAGAGCAGCGAGACCTTCTCTCATTTCAGTAGTCATTTCAGTCAAGAGAGGACTCAGTGTCTCATACACTGCAGCAACTACTCTCAAAACTGTGTGATGTAGCTACAGGAATTTGCTTTAATCAAACTTCTCACCATCATATTGGGAAGCTCCAGTCTCCAAGAGAGAGAATGTAAATGCTGCCACCAGAACCAACTGGAGACTCTTCATTTTCTCCTACAATTACCGCACGTACCAAACCAACCTCAACTGAAAAATGGTCCGATCTTCTATACATAGACATGACCTAAACAAACAATGTACTGATCTTATAGCATGCCATGTCGGATGTAGTGATACTACCTTCAGAACTATGTTACTACATACCTCTTTAAAATACCACAGGTTCCCTTCTTTGATACTACAATGCTCGATAGTATGCTTTTACTGTATGGCAGTTGTTTGCTGTGTAATAATAAAGCTACACACAGTTTTACCACAGACAAAAACTCTGCTAGAGAACCGGACAGAACTCAACATGGCCTCTGTCTCTCATTATACAGTCCAAGATTCAAACAGGTCGGCAACAATTACTGTATACCATCGACTTTTGCTGGGTTATGTATTCACTGAAACAGCTTTTGTTTCCCACACAATTGAGTGTGAGACTACCAACAACATCATGTCACAAACACAAAATATTCGCCAGCCAATGCGTGCATACGTTGTTAGTTGCCCACTATTTCCCGTCCAGAGTCTCTGACCGGTTTTGCTGTCACTCGTGATAGGACCACATGCACAGCAATACACAGTTCATGAAACACCTCAACACCGCTCTGTCCGTCTCTGTAGGAGCCATAGAACAAATCTGACAGTCTATCTTCACACCACGCTCTACCATAATCCATACTTTCTTCTATTTTCCCACTGGTTCCCTTTGATTTAGTACCTTCTTCACTTGTGTTGAGATCTGCAATACACTATCTTGTGCTGCATTGATTGTACTGGATAACTAGTAGACATCGATTCTCGTAGATGAGGGCAACCCTGTCATTATCGATTACATCGGAGATATTTGCCAGTGGGTGTGGCCAGGGGGAGGAGTCAGAGGGGGGGAAATGATGAGGGGGTCTCAGGGGTGATGAACAAATAGAGAGTTCTGTTCAACCATAAGGTAGGTGACACCTGCGACCACCAGGATACTGAGAGTACAGATGGTAAGACCAAAGAGGAGGAAGATGTATCTTGTAACAAAATTTGTAACCACGACATCAGACTGCACCTGTGTGTACAGTCACTCCTTTGACATTGAGTGTTCGTGTGCCTTTGTTTGTGCGTCCCTTCCACATTTGAGCTACTTCCAGTCTGCATTTCAGGAGTTGAACCTCTTGTTATGTTTGTCAGCATAAGAGGAGTTACTGTTGATATTTCGACAGTTGGCTGATAACCGGGTAGCTCTCTCTCCATCCATCTTCCCTCCTTGATCCCTGAATCTCAGTAGAGTCAGCATTAGTCTCCAGAAGGTGGCCAGAGCAGTTCCGATGCTACTATAATGAGGATTGGAACCAAGGCGTCACTCGATGCTATGATAGATCTAGTACTACACGTATACTGAGACAGTCCATAAAGAGAGGCCAACACCAACATAGGGACATCTTCTAATAAGAGCCCGGCGACCGGCATGAGCTCAACGTGGGTTCGACAGAAACTCCCCTTCAGATGAAAGAGTTTCATGATCTCGTGGGAGGTTGACATCATGGCTAGAGCTAGTCCAGCCAGTGCAAACAGCCCCCACACCATGCTCCACAGTAGAGGGGTCGGCAAGAGAGGGTGCGCGAAGCCAACCTTGAGAAAGGAACCCCAGGCAATGAGGTCTGAGATGGAGTCGAACCCTGCGATATAGATGTATATTATGAGGAGGACGACCCTGCATTTTGTTCTCGATGGGGCGTAAGAATCCAGAATGAACTCGCTGCTCTGTATGACTGCATCAGATAGCAGTTCCTCCATTCTTAGTTCATTCCTTTTCTATTCCTCTCTCTTTCTACCTTCTTGCCTTTAGTAGAGTAGTCTACAATTAGAAGCAGGTCTTTCTATGTACTCGATCAACAGATGGATCATTAGTTTACTCCAGCATTTTCACAACTGTCCAACTCTCAACACTTGTTAGTAAAGCAAGCTCTGAACTTTAAGCTTATTAATCACAAACGGCCCAGAGGCTATGTGACTGCACGACACGCTAGTAAACTTCAGCCACACTCAGCTACCATCGCACATGTCAATAATGGCCGAGCACACCTCTATACACACTGTGATAGCAACAGGCCCACGTGTCTAGCTATATGTAGTGTAGCTATACAGCAGGTAGTCTTACTAAGATGAGTGGCAGTGCTTTCAGTGGTTGGCTGTACTAGAACAAATAGGGCATAATGCAGATGTACACAGCTTCACACGCCATATCTATAGCTACCACTGGTTGTCTCAACAGCACATCCACAAAGCCCTGCTGTAGTGTGGAAGAAAGTGTCTGTGTTAGTGACGTGCCTGGAAAGAGGTGCCCTCATCAGGAGTAGGAGGGGTTTTCTCCATTATTCTCACACCAAGCATCTGGACCAAATACGTTAGCGTGGTGGAAGTGATTAGCAACATTCAGATGTGTATATAATAGCTCGTGAAACAAAAAAATCATGAAGTAAAGAAGGGACAAAATGCAGTAAAATACACATAATATTTCACATTGTGTTAACCAGTAGCTACTGTATAACACAACATTGACATTCAGACGCTTTACCATACAGCAAAATTAATTCAGTATGGTGGCTCTGTTCATGCACGAGACATGTCCACTGTTACATAGGTCCAGCAGTAGTAGGCTGGGGGGAGGTGGTTGGAGGGTATCGTGGTACCTCATAATATTCACCTTCAGCTGTCCCTCTCACTACATTGTAGGCCTCGTTGGTCTTGAGCTGGTCTGGATCCCTGGTTAGGTAGAATTACAATGGTGTAACATCAACTAGTTGTTCGTTTGGGGAGACTCACGCATAATACGTTGCCTCTGAGAGCTCCAATGATTGATTTGTAGCTCTGCCTGTACCTCTGTAAAAGAACAGAACAACCCTATGACATACTAAAAGTTTGTTCTCTAAGAAAAATATGTACTGTGTTCTTGCAGTTGAAATCCCTCTGCAGCTTCTCAACACTAGAATCACTATGGCTATGACTGTCAGTGAAGTAGTGATCATAAAGGCCACAGCCACTACTCCACCAATAATGGCCGAGGTGTCTGTCTCAGAGCTTGAACTCTCTCCCTGGAAAACATCAGTTGCTGAACAAAAAATTAGAGATTTCCTATGAACCAAACTCAATGATTCTTTTACCACCAGTGGAGAAAAGGATGGGAGTGCTGTCAGTGGTTCCAGCTACATTAGTGGCTCTAACAGTGAGTGTGTAGATAGTGGAGGGGTCCAACTGGTGGATGGTGTAGGCAGTGCCAGACAGAGAACCACTGGTGCTCTCAGTACCTCTGTCAGTGGGTCTCCAGACCACCTCCCAACTGGCCACCCTCTCACTGGACGCACTCCAGGAGAGGGAGACAGAGGTGGCTGTTATGGAGCTCACTGACACAAACACCTGCCCTGGAGCTGGGACTGGAATAGGAGATTACATCTAGATGAACTGTAGTATCTCTCTCTTACTTAGTGTGATTTCAAATGTGGTGGCATCACTGAAAAGGTATGTAGATGTAGCTATAATGGATATGGTGTAGGTCTGTCCATTGGTGAGACCAGTCAGAGTGTAGCTGTTGGTAGATCCACCATCAATATCCACATCACTGCCTCCAGTGATGGAGATACTGTAGCCAGTGGTATCTCCCACTGGAGAGGGAGGAGTCCAGGTCACTTTGATACTAGTGGGACCATCCTGGAATGCTGTCACATCAGTGGGAGGTGGGGGACCTGAAAGTCAGCCAACATAAATACTGAATGACACATTACAGTAGATACCCTCCAACGTGATGCCAGCTGAGGCAGTAGATGGCTTGTTGTTAGACACCATACACATGTACACTCCTGCAGTAGTCACAGTCAGAGTGTGGATGTACTGTGCAGTCACTGGGTCATTCAACACAGTCTCGTGTTGCTCTCCAGTGATATTGATATTGTCTCTGGTCCAAGTGACATTGGTAGCAGGTCCACCAGTGGAGATACAGGTGAGGGTGAACTGAGGACTGGCTCCATTGATGTCTGACGCCAATGTCAGTTCCCCAGGTATTGAGATGTCTCCTGCAATGTAGAATCAACTATACCAGGAACATTCTGTGAACCAATACATATATACCTCCTCCATTGTATAGTCCCACATAAATTGTCTGGTCAGTTTCTGTGATGTCCATTACCACACAGTTATATATTCCTTCATATGCAGGATCAGTACCAGTGTTCCTCCTCAGTCTCACTACCATAGGACCTCTGTTTCTGGTAAATCCTGGAACATCAGTACCTTCTACTCTTGTCCTGTCTGGAGCAAACCAGTTTCCCCCAGAAGTAGTACTGTTAGTTGGTGGAGGTCGGTTAGTGATACACAGTAGAGCAGTGGTATCATTGGAGCCAATATCACTGATGTCCACATAGCTATGATTAGTGAAGATTTCACGGTTCAGACTGAGGTACACACCTGGAAAAATAAGCGTAAACCCTCGGTGCAGAACTACACACTAGTACTTTAGCTGCAATATTTACTGTAACCCTCGCTGGAGATTTGCATCGAGGGTTAACAGTACATGCTTTTTTAATTATCAGCCTCACTTGGAAGAGTTTCAGCCATTTCTGGGTCACTGTACTCTCTGGTACCAGCACGGTTGACTGCCGCTACTTGGATGGAGTAGGTAGTGGATGGCATGAGACCAGTGATGGTGGCTTCATTCACAGTAGCTCCATCAACATTAACAATCTCTGTGTTCCCACTCTCCATCACTCCATACTGGACTGAGTATCCTGTGATGGCTCCATTCTGATTGATACATGGCACCTCCCCCCACTCGACAGTGATGGTGGAGGAATTCACATCAGTTACAGTCAAATCAGGAGGAGGGGCAGATGGGGCTGTTGGGATAGAGTTATCAGAATAGAGGAACACACAAAGGGAAACACTAGGATACTAACCAGCAGTTAGTGTGGTGGCTGTGCTGCTTTCTTGAGTCCCTCCATTCCCAGTCAGAGTGGCAGTGACAGTGATAGAATACTCAGTTCCCTCCTCTAGACCATCCAGAGTGTATGATGTCCCACTAGCAGATATATCACTTCTGGAGTTAGTGAAACAGTCAGTGTTGGTGTTGGAGTAGGAGATGGTGTAGGAGGTAGCAGTAAAATTGTCCTCCAGTGTCCATGAGATGGTGAGGGAGATAGATGATGAGGAAGTGACCAATACAGTCAATCCTGATAGGAGAATTTGCAGACAATATAAAGCTACATGACTGTAAAATGCAAGTGGTCACTGTGGCATGAACTCACCCTTGTATATGAACCAAGCTTTACACACTACTCACCTGGAGTCTCTACAGTGAGGGTAGTGGAAGGTCCAGTACCAGCAATATTGACTGCAGCTACTGACACAGTATACTGTGTGTACACAGTCAGTCCAGAGATTGTGGTTTGACTAGCATCTACATCAACACTAGCAGTTCCTTCCTCCATTCCACCCGAGTTGGTTGCAGTAACTGTGTAGTCAGTGATCTCTCCATTTCTCTGGAGACAGGGCACCTCTCCCCACTGGACAGTGGCGCTGTTTAGTGTGACTGTAACTAGAGTGATTGAGCCAGGAGCACCAGTGGGAGCTGTGGAGAGTAACACCAACATTAGAGGAACTAGGAAATTATACAACACTTTACCAGTTGCAATAGTCATTGCAGTAACAGCATTACTGACAGGACCACTACCAGCTCCATTAGAGACTATCACAGTGATGGTGTACCTATTGCCAGGCTCCAGTCCAGTTATTGTACGTCCAGTAAAATTACTGCTAGTCACAGTGATACTACTACCAATATCATTAAGATCAGGACAGACAATTGAGGTGTCTCTCTGCCACTGGACCACATAGCGAGTCACCACTGAGCCACTGGGAACACTACCAGATATGGTGATGGTAGTGGTAGTGACTGTTGGAGTTGAGTCAAGGACTGGAGCTGACGGAACTGTGATGGAAACAAAGACAGCACACAATGGAAAGCTAGGGCAGCTCTTCTTTTTTCTTTGGAAAAAGAGCTGCCCTGGGTGTAATTGATCTGCCTTTGCCTTGCTAGGTTGTTTGTGGTGCTCTTTCATTCTTGTGTAAACTGAACCACCTTCATTTGTGTGTTATGACATACCTAAACCAACAGTGGCCTGTTCCTGTGGACTGGACAACCCATTGGTTGTGGCTACAATGGATATGGTGTAGGTCTGTCCATTGGTGAGACCAGTCAGAGTGTGACTCATAGTGTTTCCACCACTGACAGCCTCACTACCACTGCTGCCGCCAGTGTAGGAGATGGTGTAGCCAGTGATACCATCCAGAGGATCAGGAGGAGTCCATGTCACTGTGATACTAGTGGTATCATCCTGGACTGTTGTCACATCAGTGGGGGGTTGGGGACCTGAAACTGAACCACTCAATGATACTATACCATTGGGAAGTATATAGGGACATGAAACGTATCCATAGGAACTTTCAATTGTGGTATTGAGGAAATCATGCTGTTGACCTGCCGACCTTTGGCTGTAGTGACACTTTTCCAACTATTAATATTGAGCGGATTACTTTATTGCCCAAACTCTAAGCGGTTCACAAGCACTTGGAGAGTACCTGTAGCTCTGTCAACACTGAGAGTTAAATATGCATCTATGTCCTCATTTCACATAATTGGCGAGCGAAGCAAGCCTGTCTGTCTGAATGCAGGGGCACATACCGTAACAGCCACAAAATATTAGAACTGCTTGCTTCACTTGCCCAAAATGCGTAGTGTTCATTGGTTTTTAGCCTGCATGCCAAAACAGTGATTTGCGGACATTTTACCTGCTATAACGATGCTAGCTGAATCAGAAGATGGCTTGTTATTAGCCACAGTACAAGTGTACTGTCCTGTAGTAGTCACAGTCAGAGTGTGGATGTACTGTGCAGTCACTGGGTCATTCAACACAGTCTCATTTTGCTCTCCACTGATAATGACATTGTCTCTGGTCCAAGTGACAGTGGTAGCAGGTCCACTAGTGGAGATACAGGTGAGGATCAGCTGGCTAGGGTCAAATGTCACTCCTCCAGATATTGAGATGTTCCCTTCAGTAAAGAACAAAAATCCTAACCTGGGTCAGCTGGCTAGGGTCATTATTGCTATTCAAAATCAATTTCAAACTACAATGTCCAACCTATTCCCACTTAGTAACTGTAGGTGAGTGCATGGGTTACTGAAACAAGCACGTATGTGGACAAAAGAGGAATTAGGGTTCCAGTTTACCTCCACTGTCAGTATACAGTCCCACATAAACTGTGTCTCTCACTGAGATGTCAGTATTATCATGGACATAATCAGTTGGAATATTACAGCGATAGATACCAGTTGGTGAGTTAGTATTAGTGTTACGATGTATTTCAACTCTCTGATCTGTGCGAAACTCAAAAGTATCACCACTTCCAGGAAATGGCAGTCTAGTTCCATTAGGGAAATACCAGTCTCCACGATGGTAACCCTGATCCCTAGTACAACACGTGTTCAGGTCAGTGATACATTGAACACCTTCACCACCACCATTAGGAATGTCAGGTCTCCCCACTTGACTGATGTCCACATAGGAATTGTTGGCCAGAGTCTGGCTCATGAAGAAGACATAAGGAAAGGCCTGAGAGTGGACCTCCACCAGAGACCAGAGAAGTAACAATGACGATGCGACATTCATCATTATTCAGAACTACAGTTTCTCGTGAAGGTGTTGTATATAGCTATTTTTCTGCAGCACCAGCGACAAAATTCAATACTTACCGTATAATATGCGAGCGGGAGCGAGCCAACCTAGTAGCGTCGTTCGTTCGAGCGGAATTTTCTCATGTAAGTGCGCATGCGCGGCTTTGTACGCCTTTCCACATTTTTACACATTTTCACACACAGTGCCTAGCAATATGCGCCGATCGATCTAGCCAGCTGGAGAACTCTCCTCCATTCGACGGCATGTGCTGCAACCTTCGGTGACTGATCATGACCGAGGCTCTCTTCCCAATCTTCATGGTTCCAAGGTGCAACTTGCAAATACGCTAGGCTCGTGCACATACTCCTGCATCGCAGCTGCCTGGTGGACCACGACTGACGAGCTGAAAGCGTAAAGTAAGTACCGTTCTGCTCACCTCCTCACCGTTCTGCCAATGTACAATACTCATATAACGGCGACAGGTACTGTCTTGCTTCACAGAAGGAAAGCTGTGGGACGGCACGTTATGCAGCCCGAACATCGTGAGCAAATCCAAAGTTGGGTCCCTCCCGCTCGCCAACAATGTTCAACGTCGCCAATCACGCATCGTTCCGACCCCGACAAACTACGCATGCGCAAAATGATTAACGCCCGCGCACACACATCAGACAGGTTCATAGAGAGTCTCGAGCAGCAGTAGCAGTGGGCTGGGAGGAGGTGGTGGGAGGAAGGTTGTGTGGTACTTCATAATCATCTTCAGCTGTCCCTCTCACTACATTGTAGGCCTCATTACTGGTGGTCTGAAACGGACCTGCGGAAAAGACAAACACGTATTGCATGAATCAGCGTCGGTAGACGCTGATGGATTGCGCGAGTGAAATCTCACGTGATCCGCGTACAAAACGCCTAAAAATTCGTTGAGAATGACTCCCTAGGCCTTCAAAACACACTAGCAATAGTCTACGGGCCCATATCTACCTATACATGTTCCTCAAAGATCACATACGCATCTTAAGTTCTCCACGCGAGACTTCGCACATACGCGACTTCACGATTTCGTGTCTCCTTATCAGAACCAGTCGAAGCGCTGATTTTTTCACTGAACGTTTCCAGTTCGCCGGAGGTGTGCACGGACACCAAGTGATCGTTTCTTTCTTGCCGTAAGTCACTACGGTAGATCATGGAGCTCTTCCATGGTCGACACTGAACAACGCCATTGCTGCATCAGTAAGCCGCGCGCATGCGCAATGCAGAGGCGTTGTCGAATTCGAATTCGCTGTGCGCGCGTATTATTACCATGGGAGTTGACAGACCTGCAGAGGAACTCTTAGCCTCCAGTGCCTTCTGTAAGTCAGTGCGCACATTTCCAACTGGCTAGCTTGCGTTTTGCTGTTGATTTACACGGTTGGCAGAGTCAGCGCGGTGTTACGCGAGCATTTCCAGGTGCAAAAAAGGGGCCTTCATTTGCCCCCCATAGGTTGTAGCACTGATTACCAAAGCCTGCCAATGAAACCACAACCATGCGCCATAACCTAATTACATCTTTGTTGAAGACAATACCTGAGGTGAATATGGTATCTAGCTCCTGCTTCAGGCACTATATAGCAGCCCATTAGCTACAGCTTTCAACAATTAGAGTTTGTCCTTGGTAACCTATGACATACCCATGAACATCAGAGTGACTGTAACAATAAAAATGCGGTGTTGTCATAAGCTAGTGGAAACAAGTGGAAAAATCATTTCTTCAAAATGAAGGGGGATATAGGGATGGCTTGAAGCACCAAAAAGGAAGAAACAAGGGGTCATTACACAGCTAAGATGCACAAAGCTACATGACACCATCCCTATATCTTTGTTTTATTGTTCATAAGGAAAGTTAACTTTAATATCGAACAAAGATATAGGGATGGTGTCATGTAGCTTTGTGCATCTTAGCTGTGTAATGACCCCTTGTTTCTTCCTTTTTGGTGCTTCAAGCCATCCCTATATCCCCCTTCATTTTGAAGAAATGATTTTTCCACTTGTAATAATACTAGTCATTATTGAGTGAAAGAACGACGGTCATAGCTAGCTTACTCAGTCCGTTGATCTCAACAAGCCTGGAGACCTAGGTAATTGTAAGCAAAAGGACTCAGCTTGTCCTTGAACAGAGTTCTCACGAAGAGCACAAACTCAGGTAAGGCTATTCATGCACAGAGAGCCCTTCTCAGGGGAAAATACGGGCTGGCTACGCGAGACTAGCCTTTAGCCGTCGCTCCTATTGGAGGCTGTGCCGACGCAACACTAGTCACTAAGGCATTGCCTCTGTGCGAAGGACTGGGTACTGCAGCCAGAGGCTCGGAGGCTTGTCTTGGTATATCTACTGGTCCTACGTGCAAGTGGTCTATTGGGCATCAGGCATTCGTTAACCCTCGGCGCGCATGCGCAGCGAGGGTTACTGTAGTTGTGTGTACGTCTGTCTGTCAGTCCGCGACCCATCTCACTTCACGAGCCATCAATTGCTCCACAAACAATACCACGTATTCAGCGTCGGCTAAACGCCGAAATATATGTGGGGTTTTTTCTGAAACTTCTGCGTTCGGGAGTTAGCTACGGCGTGTAACACAAGCGAAAACAAGGCAATGCTGAATGCTAGCGCCGATGTGTAGTTATAAAAACATTGATTCACTGAGCTAAAAAAACACAAACAGGAACGGTCAGGAAGTGCCCCAGCAACAGAAAACTGAATGAAAGAGTCTCGTTCTAACACACGCACAAACAACATGCTCACTCTAGTAACTAACAATGATTATGAAACCACCTGCAGTCAATTTTATGAGGTACTCATCGACATACTAGTTGTATTACTCGGATTTGAGAATCGCATCTGAGAAACTTGTGATTGAAAGTAAATCGTTCAGATAATCGCCTTTTACACTTGGGAAAGTTCCCTCCAGATTCTTCAGCACATTGCTAGCCGATGCTCCTCATCAATGTGGGATTTGTCTTTGGCAAGAAGAGGCAGGTCTGGCAAGACTGGGTAGATCATGTACAGCAGGCAAGGAGTTTGTGCTGGCATTGGTGTTTCCGCGCTCGAAAAGTCCACCACATGGGTACCACGATTCCTACAGTCACAAAACACACCACTACAGTCATATTGATCTTTTTGGTATGTT